TTTTGACAGTTCATGGGATATTGAGTACTCTTCTCCAACATTATAACTCAAAGGTATCAATTCTTCTGTCATCCTTATTCATTGTCCAACTCTCAGAGGCATAGCAAGTGATTGAAAAGACCATGAATCAGACACACCATCGTCTTCAAAATGACGTTATTGCTTTTCAATATTTTGGAGAAGTCTCTTTAACAGCAGACATTCCCAATGTAATTCGTCTCCCAAACTACTGACTGCTGATAATAAGGGTATTGAGTGTTGATCCAAGCAAGAGGAAATCAATGACAACTTCAATCTTTTCTCCATCTATCATGATTGGGCCAGAATTGAAGGCCTTTGTTTCCTTGATGTTGAGATATCATCCATACCAGCAACTTTAGTCTTTTGTTTTTATTTTATATTTGTTTACTTACAAAGATCACAAAGTTTGTATACATTGTTTTTCACACCGCATCGTTGATCTTCTGCAGCAAGTGTTTCAAGTCCTCCTCACTTTCAGCAAGCAAAGTTGCTTCATTGGCATAAAGCAGCTTGTTGATGAATCTTCCCTCTGAGTCTTATGCCATATTCGTCTTCATAGAGTCCAACTTCACAAATTATTTGCTCAGTGTACAGATTGAACGAAGATCACGGAGATGATTTTATACTGTGTAGATATGCTTTCCTGAGTGAACCACGGCCAATAGACAATTTTCTGAAGTTCTTGAGACCTTGAGTTTTTCTTGCAGTTGTCATCAAATAAATTGTAACCACACTTTAAAAAATACTTAATTTTTAAACGTTCTCTATTTTTAGTGAGTGCCATTTCCCCAGATATGTCACTGAAGCTGGTTGCCAAATAATTTTTTTCTCTCATAATCAATAGGAATAGAGATTGTTTAGGTAGCTATGAAATCCAAATAAACTGGATATATTCTACAGTTTCTTGCTTGTAGCTTGCCAATGTCCAAGTGCACCAGAAATATGTTTCAAGTGATAGTGAGAAGTTACCACATCCAACCTGTCCTGCCCTTCCAAAAAAATGGACTACAAATACAGCCAGTTTGAAAGTCATATGACAACTTGATAGTAAAGTGCTATTTTTAAAAGTTTCACTGTTAACACTTTTCCACCATCTATGTCAGTTTCACATTCTGTGGTGGCTCGTGGCACTGTGATATTGGAAGCTTTGCCACTGATGTTTCAAATACCTATCATGAACATATTTCAGCTCCTAGACTATGAAACGGGACTGATCATCCACTGCTGAAATAACAGGCTTTGGAAATACTATAGACAACAGAAGAACTTGGTTGCATATAGTTCCAGAAGATTAACCCATTGGTTGGTTGGTGTTTTGTTGTTTGTTTTTCTTTTGTTGTGTGCCATTGAGTCATATCTGACTGGCACAGGAGGAGACTGCCCCTCCTCCAGCAGAACATCTGCTGGATTAGAAACACACACCTTTGGGATTGTAGTGCAGATCTTTGCCTCTAGGCCACCAGAACTCCGTAAGATTAGCCCCTTGGGTTGGAAGGTACTGAAAATGTGACTAGAGAAGAACCACTGCCTTAAAATAGAATCTATCTTAATAGTGCAGATGGAGTAAAGCTTTTGCACAATTTAGGATTTTCTGCGGTTTGAATCTACAAGATGCTCTGCTGGAGAAGGAGGGACAATCTCCTCCTGTTATCGGTCAGATCTGAATTGATAGTACACACAGAGACACAAATAATAATTTTTTAAAAATTAGAAGGTGCACAGTTCAAATCCACCAGAAACTCCACTGGAGAAGGAGGGGCAAACAACTCCTGTGTCCGTCGAATCCAGTTAGATGGTACTCCAAAATAAAAATTTTTAAAAAAATGTTAAAAAAGACATAGTTTAGGACTTTCATTTGCTGATGTAGCAGGACTAAAAAAGAGGTGGAAACAAGTGCAAAGACCCATTAATGATTGGAATGTGGAATGTACAAAATAGGAGTCTTGGAAAATTGAAAATTATCAAAAAGGAAATGAATGCATAATGATAGACATCTTAAGTAATAGTGAGTAAAGATGAACTGTATTGGCCATTTTGAATCTCATGATCTACTATGCTGGAAATATGCTGACAAATTGAAGAGGAAGGGTGTTGCATTTAATTGTCAAAAAGCACATTTCACGATCTATCCTGAAGTACAATTTTTTGAGTGCTAGGATACTATCTATGGGCATACAAGACCTGTTAATACAACTAATATTTAAATATATGCACCAGCCACTGAAGTTAAAGATGAGGAAATTTATTTCTAATAACTTTTGTAGTCTGAAATTGATCAAACATGCAAATGATTCATTAATAAAAATTGATGCCTAGAATGAAAACATTGTAAACGAAGGACTGGTGGTTGAAAAATAGAAAATTGATGACAGAAATGAGGCTGGAAATCACATGATGAAATTTTGTACAATCATTTCATCATTGCAAATACTTTCAAAAACCCCCAAACATAATGCAATTATACATATGCACCATCATGATGAACTATTGAACATTAATGACGACCAAACACCAGACAGTTATGAGATGACATGAAGGACATCATCCACAAAGAAAGCAAAAGGTCATTCATTATAAAGATAGGGGAGGAAGAAAAGATAAAAATGGATTTCAGAAGAGACTGAAACACTCGCTAGAACAAAAAGAAGAACAAGGAGAAAGAATGCTAAATTTAGCTGAACAGAAGATTTCAAAAGCTTGCTATAAAATACAAAGCAAGTATTGAAATGTGCAAAGAGCTGGAAAAATCAATAGGAAATTTTTACTCAAAGAGCAAAAGGAATATTGATGTTATCAGATAGATCTTGGCTGAAAATAGACAATATCAGGAAGACATTTTTTATTGACTAGTGTTTTCTTGACTATGCAAAGGAATTTGACTGTGTGCATCACAACAAATTATGAATAACAAGAAGAATGGGAATCTCAGAACATGTATATGTAGTCATTCAATACCTTATAGACTAGGAAACAGTTGTCCAAAATAGAACAAGTGAACAATGCATAGTATAAAACTAAGAAAGGTATGCTTCTGGGTGATATCTTTTCTCCATACCTATAAAATCTCTACGCTGAATAAATAACTGAGAGTTAGACTCTAAAAGGAGAATGTGGCATCAGCATTGGAAGAAAACTCATCCTCATCAATAACCTCCATTATGCAGATAAAACAACCTTGCTTGCAGAAAGTAGCCAACATAGCTCTCTCTCTGTTGTCATCGTTGTTATTGTTGTTTGGTGCCGTCAAGTCGTAGACGACTCATAGTGACCCATGAACGAAAGGC